ATTTAGTTGTTAACCTTTTCATTTGCTGAAGTATTACCTCCTCTCACAATAGGAGACAGCTGACAGCTGCTTAATTAGCATAATAGAAAGTGACAGTTGGTTAACAAACAACCTGAAACCTTTGAGTGTTCTACTGCAGTGGCGGTGTTCCTACCTCTGGGCCAAAAGGTCTGGGTTAAAGTGTCACCTTAGAATGTGCTGGTCACTAAGCTGTGTCATAATGAGTGAAAACAGGTTATTTGTAAAAGAAAAACCAGAGAGCTGATAAAGTAGTGCAACATTCTCTCATTTACTTACAAATAATTTTTCTTCTCTGCTAGCATCAAACAACATTTCTACAGAGATATTGTTTATCAGTCCATAATCATTTTACTGAAAAGTGACAAATTCCCCCAAATTTTCTACTTGCTTTACCCAGTAAACTAAAAACTACAGGGACAACATGTTTCGCTGCACAATTAACTGGTGCAACATGCCTCAGACTTAACTTGAAGTAATTATTGGAGCACCTGCATCCATAGCTTCGATTTTTTAAACAGCATGTAAAATAAAACAATGGAGCTGCAGATATGCAACAAAATAGCAAAAGCAATCCTTTAAAATCTCTGCTATTATAAGGATCATTATAAATCAGTTATTTATCTGCTGTGAATGAAGAGAGCGGGAGTATCAACTTGTTGCTCTTGGTAAACTTAGCAGCCAGGCAGGGGATGGGAGTGGTGGTAATTATGGCAATCTCTAGCGCAGACAAATCCTTTTTTTGACAGCACGTTTTTAACTCATCCTCATTATACCAACAATTTACCTAATTGGAATCAGCCACTGTCAAGAAATACCGTCAAATAACCAATCCATATCTTTTCACTCTGGGTTTGTACAGACACAGCATGTAATAGAAAGGCATGGGGTGAGGTCCTCATCTGACTTCTCACTAAAAGAAAACAATATCAATCTCAGCTGCCTTGACAAGAAGGGAAAGATCCAAGATCTATTCATCCCTGCATTCCACAGTGATTAGTTTGGAGCAATACTGACTGCGAAGCAGATCAAAGGAAAACAAAATAAAGGTGGTTAGATCTTAACTGCTGTAAATGTGCCCAGTTAGAAATATAATGTTTTAATTCTAAGCTGGAAGCCAAAATAAGTATAATATTTATTCTCGTTCCACTCTTAAAAGATTTTCTTTGATGTCTAGGCCAAGGCAACCGACAACATTATGACATCTGTGCGACTAATACAAAAGGGTAGTGCACTTGTAACATTCAAATAAAAGCAAAATACTGCAGATGCTGGAAATCCAAAATAAAAATATGACATGTTGGAGAAACTCAGGAGGTCTGGTAGCATCTGTATTGAGAGAAATGGAGATATACAGACCTCAAATGTTAACTCTGTTTTTCAGACGGTCTGGCTCTGAGTTTTACCAGCAACGTTTGTTTTTGTTTCAGCTTTCCAGCATCCATGTTTAGGTTAGAATTTCTCTAGCAGTTTATCAGCAAATAAGCAATGTCACTAGTGGAATGAAAACAGTTTTCCAGAATCAGGGAGATGTCACAAACAGAATCTCAGGTGAAAATACAATTCTGTATCAATCTATTGTACTTGAAAGATAAAATATAATGTTATTGACTGATGGGAAATAAGTTTATTGTGATTACAGCCAGTATAGAAACAGACATGAGAAATACATTAACAAAATTATTGATTTTCTATGCCTGAATAAGGCTATTTCCTATTCATCAAACAATTCACAAATTTATTTTAAAAAGCTGGTATTATGGTGCTTGTCTATTCTTATGTGAAAACCGAAGATGAATACCTTTGGCAAGGGGAAAAGTGTGCCTAATCCAGTTCAATTTACTGTTGTACAATACACTTGATTGACCTTACCTTGTTCCCGTCACTACCACGAGTAAGAAGAAAATCAGGAATATATGCTAACATTATACAGCCCAAAAATCTTCCCCATATAACATAAATGCTCTGATAAGCTGAATAAACTTGACAATTTCTTATGCCCACTATCGATCTTTACTGAAATCCTCAGTGACAAAACTGACAGAAACCAGCAATTTAGTAGAGTTTGCACATTTGTGCTCCACTAAATTGCTATAAGGAGTGGAAAAACTCAAAAAAGATCAAGTGTAAACTGTGCATCATGATGATATCATAATCCAATTAAGATGGCACTGCAGTCCTGTTTAGCATTTATTTTACCTTCTGGCAGTCTGTTTCAAAGCAGACATAAAAATATTATGATTTGCTTGGGTAGCCTACAAGACATTTTCATGAATGTTGTTCTATAATATTAATGCCAATGTGCTCAAATCAATACTGTTCCATTAAATGAGGGAATGAGTTGTAAAACATTCTTCCCCAATCACACCCACTTTGAAAAGTAGCATTTGGCTAGGTGAATTTCATGCTCTCGTTGGCAGACAGATCCTGGTCGAGCTACCGAACTGTGACAACATGGTAAAATAAAACAGCTGGCTGATATTTATCCATCTCATATCAGCAAATGCATACTAGATCATTTTGTTGCAAAACATTCTTTTGGGAACACATGAGATTACAACTGAATTGTGCTATTTCTGGCATTTCAATAACTGTACATCCTACAGTTTCTGCCCTCTACCATAAAAAACAATGAACAATCCTGACATTCAACAACATAAACAAGTGACTGGCTAAACAGAGATCTGAAACAAATGTGCTTGATTAAATTGTTTTAAAGTACTTTACCACTTAAAGCACAAAAAACTGAACTGGAAAAGCCCAAATTTACAATTGTTAGATTATTCTAACAAGTAAAAGCTCAAGCCTTGGTTATCTAAATAAAACTTGTTGCCAAGATGAATTTTAAAAAGTCAGAACACTAAAATAGTTAAGATTGGCACAATACTCAGCTCATACTGAACCTGAATGTATGTTTTGCAACAAAATGAACTGGTATGCTTCCTCCATTAGATAACATGAAAATAGTTTTGTTGAGAATTCTTTACCCTCAGGCAAAAATAAGTTGGGACGGGGGAAGAAGTGGAGATCAAACCATGTTGCTATAATAATATCCTGCCATAACACCACAGTCAGTTGTCAATTACTAGAAAATAGAAGGGGCTACATACCATCAGAAATAATTCTGAAAGTCATTGTTAGGATTGCTGATGATTAACATATACAAAATGACTTTGAGCTCATGATAGAGCACCTTCAGTTGAACTCTTCACTGCTTTCTCTAATTATCATTATTAAAAATAAACAGAATCAATATACATCTTTATATGGTAAAACTTGCACAAATCTATCAACATTTTCCCTAATCAGCAATATGAAAACCAACCCACAACTACACAATATATCCTTGGTCATTTATACTCTAGATTAACAGTTGCATACTGATCAGAAATGTAAAGGCTGCTGTTATATACTCGTCTAATTTCCCTGCTACATACTTCACTGGGAAGGTAAATTAGACAAGGTATGTATGGGCTACAAATTTCCAGCCGAAGCTGAATGTCTTACCCACAATTTTGATGCAACAACTTACAATCCTGAACTTACAATCTAATGCTGACTGTTTGAGAGTTGAGTATCAGGACTGCTTGACACACAAATTAAATTGCCATTGTTGAGTGATAAATAATTTAAACACTATGAGTATTTTATCAGATGGGCTTAAGAAGAGCAATGCAGCTCTGCAATTTGCTATGAAAATCTGTACTAATCCTAACAAGTGTGCGTTCTGATAGTTTATCAAAGTTGAATTGTTGGTGTACTTGTGCAAGTTGTACTTTAACAAAAAGAAATTTTAAAAATGCAAAATAACAGCTTATATATACACACTGGATAAACAATATCTCCCAAATAGGACATGAAACAGATACTTGTACATGCTTAGCCTTTATTTTTTGTTTCAATGTTGTCATCACAATCATGTTATTATCTGAAGTTTTTCCTAACATTGTAAACTATTTCAAAGCAAATTAAACTCAAATGGATAATTCTTAATTCATTTCTACTAACAATACGCTGATTCAAAGATCCCAACATTTACTACTAACCAAAAGAAACTGCCCCAGATTAAAATAAAGTGCAACAAATAATGCTCTTCGTCATGATCTTATCCTTCATAAGGAAATCATAGATGCGGATCTGAGCATAACAAATGTCCATCTCACTTCATCCATCTAAAAGTAATGATGGCTTTTAAAAAATCAACAGATGGTGCAAACGAATCGTCATGACGAGTCCATGAGATAAAAGAATGTCTTTGCAGTACAAAAACAAAATGCTCCCCAACTGCCAAACCAAAAACTAGTCGCATAAGTAATGTGACTCTTGACAAACGGTTCCTCATAATTTATAATAGATGCAAAAATCGTTCAAGTTGAAGTTATGCAAACACACAAAAGGTAAGAAGATTGCAGTTATATTAATAGGATGCCAATATAAACGAGCCTTTCCGGAATACAGCTTTGCCTTCCTATGTTCAGCGCTTTACAAACTGTGATCTTTCCCAATCAGGTTTAGACTTCAATCCGAAATCAACAGTGTCAGAGGAGCGGTCTTCGTGAGGAAAGAAACATTGTTCACATCCAGTCTTACTGCATTACATACGTGGCATTCTCACCCCCGTGCACACTTACCCATTGCATACACCTCCCTTCAGCATAGTCATGTTGCTGATCCCTCAATCCACCTGCCTCCCTTCGCTTTCTGCACACCCACAGCTGCCTCTTCTCCCCCCACCCCCCACAACCATCACTGACTGATGAACTGGAGCCGGCTCCACCCAGACCCTGGTGAAATCAACCGCGGGATCCGGCCAACAAAGGGACTGGTGGCTTCGAACGGACAGCCGGCCGCCGAAGGGCCGAGCCGGTGCCTGTGAACCCCCCTGAGTTTGCTGGACCCCATCCCCATCCCCCATTCCCCCGGGGTCCGGCCCCTGTGGCTGGGAGCAGGGCGCTGTGAAGACAATGGCCTCGCGGCCTTACCTTGGTGCCGTGGTAGTAGTCATCCACCGAGGTGGCGTTCATGAAGGTCTCCTGGAAATGGGTGCTGGTGTCGATGCCACCCGGCATGACCAGCTTGCCGGTGGCGTCGATGACTTTGGCCCCGCCGGGGATCATGAGCTCCCGGCCGACCAGCTGCACGACGCCGTTCTCGATGTAGACGTCGGCCTCCTGGGTGCAGTCGTCGTTGACCACCCGGCCCCCCTTGATGAGGGTCCGCAGGGCGCTGGCGCTCGCGTGCATTGTTCTCCGGCAAATCTCTTCCCTCTCCCGCGGTAAATACAAACTGCCCTCAGGCGGTGAGTATTCGGCGGCAGGGTACGCACCGTCTTTCTCACCGAGCCCTCCCCACCGGCCCCGGAGCCTGTCCGTCCTCTCGCCGCCCGCGACCGTTGGCAAGTGCCAGCCCCTGGATCGCGCGATTGTCAGCCCTCAGCCAATCAGAGGGAGGTGGGGGAGACCGGCGGACAGCGCAGCGCGGTGGAGCCTGGGAGTTGTAGTCTCCGCCTCGCCAGCGCTGCCCTCTGGCGGACGGAGGAGCTGCCAGCCAACGGACTCCAACTCCCGGTGCTCCTCGAGTCCCTTTGGCGTGGTCCTGGAATCTAGTCCGGTATCAGGTCCAGCAGCGCCCAGCATTGTTACAAACCCATCCTCACTCTGCTACAATAACGCTGACATTTACTTTGCATGATTGCACAAATCAGCAACGAAATAATGCAAAACTAACAGGAAAAGTTTTATTTTTCCCCTCAATAGTTTAATGCAACTTTAAAGCGAAATATATTCTCCGATGTAATGTATCACCACTCCTCCACGTTGTACACTAACCGATGATTTTCAGTTGTTGACTTCAGCTACTGCTTACAGGTACTCACAGGCAGACATTTTAAAATGTAAACCCTGCTCGCAGGTTATCACGAATAAACCGATGCTTATTCCTCTTTTTGATGTCACTGAAGTGGACTGTCATTTCGAAAAAAAAGATTTAAAAAACCGGAATCGAGCCTCAAAACATTAATGTCTTGGAGATACAGAAATGTGTCATCAATCGTTTCATCTTGGACTGCATAACCTCATATGATTCCTGTCCCAGTTTCCATCGTCAATTCGTCACTGCTGCCTCATCTGTTCAACCCAGCGAGATACGCTCGGTTGCTTCAGTGTCATTCACACAAAACAAGCAACAATGTTCCTTTTTGGATGGGCACGTCTAATGAAGCCACAGATCATACAAAAGAGAGGTGCAACAAATAGCGTTTCCACTCGTCAACTGTGTTCTCTGCTCCCTGGGGTGAATGCCTGACATGGTTTCTTGGGTCAAATACCACTGCCAGTATGATATGGTCCGAGTTCATATAACGTATACCATAAAGATCAGGTTGTTACTGAGACAGATGATTTGAAGTCTATTAACAGCACTATCTATTTACATTGCTGTAATATCACAGAGTTATACACAGTATGGCCTCTGTGTTAATCAGGCTATTGTATATTACAGATCCACAACTTACTGAACATACTGCACTTTTCTCCATTGCACTGAATATGATTGAAAGCTATACGTATACTTTTGCACTGTAATGACATATTTGTGAATCATGCTTTAAAGGCACATTGCCTGTCTGCCTATCCTTTTAAAAAAGTGGGAACCCTTTTTTCCAAGATCATGTACAGGGCTGTTCATAGATACAGGGGGCTGAATTTTATCAGAAATTGGCTAAGTGTGAATATTGTGAGTTTCATGGGGTGTTACACTCCGTGAGCCTCAGTGTTTTGAAGCACAGCCTTTCAGGTTATTAAGCCCTGTACCTAGGGGAAGCCAGCTATGGAGGCAAAACCTACCATTCGGACTGCAACACTGACCTTGTTGTGGAGAAACAAGAAGAAACAGTATGATCTGGCAGAAGTTGCATCAGTAAAAGCCTTGATGCCTATGTGGGCTGAGGATTGAGGGTCCACACAGGCCCCCATGGTTCCTTGGAAGAAGCCAGATGCATAAAAGCTTTGGGCCTCCTGTATCCCCTGGGCAACAGAGGAGATCTTCAGTCGCAACTTCTTCATGTGGAAGCTGTTTGGCATCTTATGGGGATTTCTGCTGTCACTTCTGCTCCTTTTCAATTTCTCTCCTCTTTGTTGCATCGCAGCTATAGCAATGGTAACAGTCGCTATGACTGAACCCATTGGCTACGTTTCCAATAAACCTGGGGAGAAAATAAAAGAAAAAGGTTCTTACTAATGTGGGCGGACAGCATTTTGTATCACTCACAAATGACAGCTTCACACACTCCCCCACAAAGTGGAACACGGACTCCAACAAGGAGCCACAGGATGTAGGTAGGATTCTAAATGAATTCTTTGGGTTAGTATTCACCAGTGAGAGGGATGATATGGCTATCTAAATCAGGGAGAAGGTCTGGGATATAATTAAAGAAATTAACATAGACAGAGACGAGGTTCTGAGTGATCTGGCAGGCTTTAAAGTATTTAAATCTCCAGGTCGAGATGAAATGTATCCCAGGTTAATGCGTGAGAAAAGGGAGGAAATAGCAGGAACACTAGGAAAAAATGATCAATTTCTGTCTGGCCACAGGAGAGGTGCCAGTGGACTTGAGGACAGCCAATTTGGTTCTGTTATTCAAAAAGGGAGAAAGAGATAAGCCTGGAAACTATAGGCCAGTCAATCTAATGTCAGTGGTGGGGAAACTCTTGGAAGCAATTCTGAGGAACAGAATGAATCTGCATTTGGAGAGGCAGGGGTTAATTGGAATGGCTTTGTTAAGGTAAGGTCATGTCTGACCAACTTTTCAAAGATGTGACCAGGTGTGTAGATGAGGGCAACACTTTTGATGCAGTCTACTTGGATTTCAGCAAGATATGCCAAGACAATATATGGCAAGGCATACAAGGCATACAAGTGCTGAAAAATGAGATTGGACTAGTTAGGTGGTCATTTTTGACTGGCATGGACACAATGGGCCAAAAGACATTTTTCTTTTCTGTAGATCTATATGAATGTATGGCTCATACAGTCATAACGCCATTTTGGAGAAAGCCTTGAATTGATTGAACCCTTCTGATTGTAGTTGTGAAGCATATCGGAATCCAAATGTGTTTATGAAGCTAAATTCCATAAGTTATACATTACAGTCAGATTAAATACTGCAAAATCTTTCAATCAATATAATCTTGGGAATCAAAGATTTTTAAAACTTGGTGATGGAAACTAAATTATTCTTTTTTTGTGATCCCTAGTAGTGACATGAATGCTGGTTGACGATCTTTGGAGACTTAATAATGTTTTCATAAAACATCAGGTGAATTCCCTAAACATGGTAAGAATCGGAATTACAAAATTAGTAAAAAGGTTATTTCAAAGGTTACTGAACTGTAGTGCAAAGCAAAAATTAGCTGTAATATCATTGTTTTGAGGTATTTTCACGAATGCTAGAGGCATGTAAGATGCAAAGGAAAATGCAAAATTTAGAAATGTTACTTCATCAGTTCTGAAGTATTATTTGTTCAGCAATAATGTTCCTGTTGTAATAATGGAATTAGATTAAAAGTAGAATTTTTATTGCTGAGTTTAGCTTAAATTGACCTGATTACTATAGACCCAAAGTATAGTTACACTGTTGCATCCCTCAAAACTATAGAGAAAAATCACACATAGACTTACATGCAGAATTCAAATATCTCAGCGTTCGTAATTTAGCAATTATCTTGGCACAGGTGACATAACAGTGGAAGAGTGAAGGAGGAAAAAATTAGAGGTGTATGATTCTGATGAAGACTGACTGGACTTGAAATGTTAACTCTGCTTCTCTCGACACAGATGCTGCCAGAGCCATTGAGTTTCTCCAGCAATTTCCTATTTTTGTTTCAGACTTTCAGCATTCACAGTTCTTTGTTTTGTCAAAGAGTGTGGTACCTGATTTGCATGAAAGTATGATTATTCTACGGCAAAATTCAAACAATAGAATTTGGGATTCATTTTCAGAATTGCAGGGCTTGATAGAAATAAATAAATACTTTTAGAAATTTTTAAATTTTTAATATTTGGAACATTGGCTAATTTGCTCTACCATATTTTGGCAGTAAGTTATATTGCTGCCATTGCTTTCATAAATTCTGCTCCAGAGCACAAGTATTTTGTTGTGGGAATTTCTGAGCAAAGTCCCTACAGGAATTGGGGAATTTTAAGATTAGTTATCTTAATTCACTCATTTATACCTCCTAGTTTGTGCTGTGCATAATCCTGGAAGAAGCCCAGCAGCAAGTCTTCAAATGACACTTTCAACTTGAAAATAATTTTGTAACTGAGAAACTCAAATTAAAGAAAGTCGTCATTATCTCTAGTGTTTCATGCTCTTAGACCTGCCATTGTGGAAGGTGAAAAGGACTTCTTTCATCCACCCAAAGAAATTGGAAGCACAAATTTCATGTTCCAGTCATGGGAATTATGAGACAACAAGGTGCAGAGCTGGATGAACACAGCAGGCCAAGCAGCATCATAGGAGCAGAAAGGCTGACGTTTCGGGCCTAGACCCTTCATCAGAAATGGGGGAGGGGAAGGGGTTTCTGAAATAAATAGGGAGAGAGGGGGAGGTGGATAGAAGATGGATAGAGGAGCCCCTGAGGTTTGTCCGGAGGGAGGAGGGTAACTTCTTCAGGCTAGGCATCCTTAGAAGAGGCTTCGCAGTGGGGTTAAAATTGAATCAGAGATAGTAGGAACTGCAGATGCTGGAATTATGAATTGGGTTGGTGATGTATTCTCGACACCTGACTAGGAGTGTGTAATTGAGATGTTATGCCAAGATTGGTTAATATCTAACAGACCAACTGCATTACAAGTAACAATGTTTAAAGAAGGTTTGCAACAAATGAGGGTACTTTGGCACCATTTTTATGACATAGCTAAAGCATTGAAATTATGTTTCCTCAACTTTAAAATGTTGAAAAGTGAGGTCTTAAAGACCACAAAATATTTTGGACAGGTATGGGTCATGGGGTTTGAAATTACAGCCTGGGAAAGTTGTGAGCAAGTTTAAGGTTTGGCAGGTTGCTTCTCACTGTTGAAACCAATACCAATTTAATCTTACTTTAACCCTGAAAGAAAACTGATGTAGGTGGGAAGTGGTTGTTATAGTTCACAAAGTTTAGCAATATCGTGGACTATTGCACAGAGATTTCAAGGGACTGAAATGTCATATGATGAGGCGTTGCATTTCTATTTAAGTAGATGGCTTTGTAGAAGCCTAATATAATGTAAAACAAAGCAGTATCAATTGCTTTTCACTTGTGGATCTTCAAAATTGATGCCAAAACGTTCTGCATTCATACTAAGGCTTAAACCTTGGTACTGAAAAAAGTAGTATCCTAGATGATGC